CCCCAAAACCCCAAAACCCCAAAACCCCAAAACCCCTTATCCTAAATTCATTTTTGAAAATTGTTAAAATATAATTAACAAGAAAGCTCCTAATCAAGGCATAATTTAGGATTCTTGACTCCTTTAGCAATCTGTTCAGCCATTTGATCCCTAAATGTCCGGAGTGCTTCCCTGACATCTTCTCACTTTTTATCCACTATCTCTTTGAGAAGTGGAGCTAGTTCAGAAAGAGCGGTATCTTTCTTATCTTCAAACCAACTTTTGATGAAGATTCCATTGTCAGGCTGGAGCTGGAAATTTTCAGCGACATTATCAACAATTATAGTCTTACTCAGATCTCTACCAACTTTTGAGATGTCTTTGACGAAGACCATCCCATGTGGAGAGGCATGTTGTCTGTACATCCGATGAGAGATGTATTTATATGGATCTATGGCGTTTAGCACCCAGTCAGCATAATCCTGCATGGCAGCAGTGAATACAACCACCTCATAAATTTCTGACATTTCCTTCAAGAACTTCTTACAATTAGGTCTTATATTGTATTTACCTTTGCCGTTGACTTCGTAATAATGGACTAAAGTTTCATCTAAATCAAGAACAAGTGTGTAGTCTTTTCCGCTTGTATTTTTAGGCAAATATGGAACTTTGACTTTTGGTAGACCCTTCAAAGGTTGTAATGCAGTCCCTCCAACCATATAAAGAGGAGGTAACTGACCTTGCCTCTTTAATCCTTTTGGTTTCCTGGTATGGTTGATATAAGCTTTATTCAGCATATCCCTTCATTTCATAAAAGAATGGGTATCTATTGTCTTCAGAATATATGAAATAGTCTGTTGAAGATTTCGCTTCCCTTTCTTAACAGGTGCATTACTTGGCCTTTTTGATAAAACATTTTTAACTATTGGCACAATTGATTCACAATTTTGTCGAATTATTTCTAATTTTGACTGTTGCTTCTTGTTCAGACCAAAAGACTTCACAGCCATCTGGGATAGCTTATTACCAATTATGGATTTTAGATTGTTTATCCACTCAATTTTCTCTTCACAGACAGGCAACCGTTCAATAATAACATCTATCAGGAGTAAAATATTCTGGTGGATGTAATAATTCAGATTTTTAAACTGTAACTGAGTCGCTCTGTGAAACTTCGAGTCATTTGAAAACACTGAGATTATCACCACCACTATGTATTCTAGCAATAAAGTCAACTTGATAGTTTTGATGTGCTTAAGCTCTCCAGCAAGTGACTCGAACTGCTCACTAATCCGCTTGTACACTTCTCGAGTGACTTCATAATAATCACTAGCAATGTTATTTGCCAAGGATCAAATTTTATCCTCAACGATAATCATAGCTTCAATGTCAAGGTCAAATTTGGGCTCTTTTGCTTCAAAATCAGTTTTATTAAAGCCCAACTTGCTGTCATTATACTCATCCTTGACTTCTTCAATTATGGTGTTATTATATTTTGAAGGTTCAGTGAGGTTATTAACTGAGAGTTCAGGCTTAGTCCTCCTCTGAGTACTAGACATAAAGTCCTTTCCAATCACTTGAGTGATTCTAAAATCATGGGTAAACTTGGCCTCATGATATTTATGACTCGGAGTCACACTCATATATCTATTTTTACTTTCCTTTTTGAAGTTGATCAAGTTTGCAGAATTGCTAACTCCTCTTGTATACTGGCTATCTTCGACGCTGGCTATTCTCTTTTTCGTCCGGGAATCGTCAAAAATTCGAATATGAACCTAACTTACTTTTAGCGGAAGCATTGGCGATATCGTCTAAATTGTTAAAATATGAAGTTACCGTTCAAGTCCATGGTCTGAGGCTTAAACATAATTTTCTTATTAAACCCTTGAGGACCGGTGTCTGAACTAAGCGTTTCATCCGAGGTGTTATATCCATGGATTTTTGTCTATTCAAATATAAGTTTCCATACAGAAAGGAAATCAGTCAGAAGTAAATAAAAATACTTACATTAGGCTGAATAGTGGCTGTTTCCTTGAACACGCTCTGAGCATTCTTGATTAGTGGCATATTATTAATATTTTTATCCATAAATCCTCTTGAGTTATTGCCAAATCCGTTAACCATGAGCTGGTCATTATCCTTGTTTCCTTTACCTTGGAACTTATTTCTTTAAAAACTGAATAGAGTCTATCACCTGAGATTGCTGTCTCCGCTTAGATCCGTACAATGATGGTACCTTTGAAAACTTCCCTGCATTGGTTGACTTCAACTCATTAGAATAAACTTTTGAAAGTTTCGAATTTGAATTTCCAAGGCTACTTAGAGCCTGTTTGCTACCTAAATCTATAAATTTTCTAGGAATTTGGTATAAATTTATGTCGAAATCAAGCAAATATCTCCTTGTGCTTACCTATACCTGGTATCTTCTTCGTGAAATGAGACATGCTCGATATAAAAAATTATTCAGCTTTCTTATAAAATGGGGTTTTGGGGTTTTGGGGTTTTGGGGTTTTGGGG